GTATAAGGAATCTATCGCAACTCCTTTTGACTTATCCGAACGGATAACCTTAGATAGTTTCAGAAAATGATTCAGGATCAATCGATATAATAAAAACCAAGTCTATTTCAAGTTTTTCTCGAGGTTGAATACATCCGCACAAATAGTGGATATACGTACAAAACATGCAATGTTAATGGCGTCTTGAGAATTTCTCTTTGCCAGCAAACGTCAAAAGTATCTTTTCCCTTCAATGAGGGATTAAACATAAAACCAAACTTCAAATGTCTTGCGAAAGCTAATGCATTCGAAAATTGGTTCGAATCCCATGTATGGGAAAAAAAAATCTCCCCTTCAAGCGGTATAAAGAAGATATCATACATCACGTACACATTCATATATCTCTTGCACTTTCACTATTTACTACTGCTTAACTGCCCGTTTATGCAAACACAAGCAGCAATTTATCAAAGATGTTATCAATGATGGAATCTATAAAATCTTACATAACTTTCCTTATATTTTCATCAATATTGCTGGTTGGTGCTGCTGGCCTCGCCAATCGCTTTATTGCATTTATTGCCGCCATCTAACAAAACCAATTAACCACTCAATCAATAAAAACAACAACATTGATTCACAAAAAAAAAAAAAAAAAGGTATATGCCATGGCCAGTGGATGCTTTGCAACGTGTTGCTGAATATTTTATTAGCTCCATGAATTTACATCAACCGGAAGAGATAGAGGAGCAGGTGGTAACAGAGACAAAGTCTCGAGAATCCGCTGAATCGGAAAAAAGCTTAGAAGAAGTTCAAGAAATCGTATTGAGTGATTTGGAAAACGAATTGGTACAAGTAGTAATGTATTTCAATCGATCCGTTGTAGCGGCAAGCGAAAAGTAAGCGAATACAAAAAACACAATAGACGTTAAGTTTTTTTTCCATTTCTTTCATTTTTCTTCTTTTTCTTTTTTTTGTTTTTTGCTTCTGTCCTCTTTACCAGATGTTATACAGAGTTAAGCAGAAGGAATTATGTAACACCTTCGTCGTATTTGGAAATGTTGAAAGCATTTAGATCGTTTTACAAAAGAAAACTGGAGGAAATAACGCGTCTAAGGGATCGGTAAGAGAAGAAGAAGGAAACGCGACAAAATTTAAATTTAAAATGTAACTAAAAAAATGTCCATATCCAATATCATCCAGTTATACGACAGGTTTGGAAAAATTGGATTTTGCTGCTGCTCAAGTAGGAGAAATGCAAGCAAATTTATATGAACTGCAGCCGAAACTGAAAGTGCTATCCGAAGAGACGGAACGTATTATGGTTAATATTGAACGGGAGACTGCTGAGGCTGAAAAGAAGAAAGAAATCGTCGGTGCTGACGAAGCAGCCGCTAACGAGGCGGCCGCTGCTGCCCAGGCCATTAAAGATGATTGCGAAAGTGATTTGGCTGAAGCCATACCGGCCTTGGAAGCGGCTCTCGACGCCTTAAATACTCTTAAACCTGCCGATATTATTATTGTAAAATCGATGAAAAGTCCACCGTATAGTGTAAAGTTAACTTTGGAAGCTGTATGCGTTTTAAAAGGTATTAAGCCAGATCGTAAACCGGATGCCTCGGGCCGTATGGTGGAAGATTATTGGGCTGTCTCGTTGCGTATGGTCAGCGATATGAAATTCTTGGAATCGCTTAAAACATTTGATAAAGACAATATACCGCCGCTTATTATGAAAAAGATAAGAGAACGGTATGTCTACTGCGTACGATAGATACGTTCATGTCACAACATAAAACTAAATAAGAAATTTCCTTCATAATTTTATGCAGATACGTAGCCGATCGAGATTTTGTACCGGAAAAAATTAAATCAGCTTCGACGGCCTGCGAAGGTCTCTGTCGTTGGGTGCTTGCCATGGACGTTTACGACAAAGTGGCACGAATTGTTATGCCCAAGAAGGCTGCTTTGGCTGAAGCCGAGAACGATTTGGCCTCGCAAATGGAAAAACTAAATGCCAAACGTGCCGAATTGCAAATTATTTTAGATAAGCTACAAAAACTCAATGATTTCTTTGCCGAGAAATCGCGTCAAAAGAAAGGCTTAGAGGATGAGATCGAAAATTGCGAAAAGAAATTAAATCGGTAAATATATAGCCTGTTTTCTTATACTTACAACACAAGTGCTTAATATAATAAAACTCGATAACATATTTAACATCCCTTACCCCCTATTCGCACACGCAACATAAATATTGACCTAGAGTCAACAGTTTGCAACACAAGCCCTGTTTTGTTGTTCAAAAGGATTATTGTAAGTTTATAACACAACATTTTGCGCCTCCTATAAAAACGTTCAAAGTTATGCTTTGAAGAGCAACAAAAAAAAAGAAATCAAAATCTACGCTGCATTCAAGTCGAAGATAAAATGTGTGAAACAAAACACACATAAAATCTCTGCAATATGTAGGCAATATAATGTAATCAAATCCGTTTACGAAAGGAGAAAGAAAATTACACGCATGCCATCCAACACGCGGGAGCATATTGAACGTTACGAACATTACGACGGTCCTTAGGGAATATATCTTTTGTTTATTGGAGGAAGAGGAGAAAGTTGCCTTCAATAAACTATTTATTGAAATTGAGTAAATAAAATTTAGCCAGAAACGGCATAAATTAACTTCAATTTATTATTATAGAAAATCACCTGAAGTGATTAGGTATTAATTGAAATGAACATAAGTGCAGCATGGGCGGCATATTGGCTCGCTCTAACAAGATCATCACAAGAGCTGCTCCCCCTAAAATCTTATTAAACAAATTTTCCTTCCCATAGAACAAAAATGAAAATTATTTTCGATATCACTTTTTGTAGAACTTGCGTAACATGCATGGCTCTTAACGAGAGCAGAGTATACATATATGCGAATTTTCTTCTATCTCTTTTTTCTTTGCCATAGCTGGCATAATAGGAAAAAGTGTATTGATTCTATTCTTCCTTCTGTAATACTTAGCTAGCTATAGAGCATCATAAATTACAATATGTTCGCCTATCGCAAATAAAATAAATTAAAGTAAAGTGAAAATATGAAAATGAATCGGTCGCACGTAAAAACGAGAAGAAAACTGGAATCGTTTTTACAATATTCATCACAATTACAATAAACCCAAGCGATTTGCATACATTAGCTCCATTTATGATGAACGTCGTAGACGTATGCAATTGTCTATTTTATTATCTACATAAAGGGCATTAAGGCTTTTGTTGACTGATCTATTCTCGCTATTCATTTCATTGTTTTTCTCGTCACATTCCATACGCAGAGCGGAAAAATTGCTTGGCGGTTTGGGTGGAGAAAAAACGCGATGGGGCGAAGCAGCTCAAAGTCTTCATAAATCCATAAGTAACATCGTCGGTGATGTGCTTTTAGCTGGTGGATGTACTGCATATTTGGGCTTTTTTCCAACCGAAGTAAGTATAAAAATCAAACAAAAGTACCAAAAAAACAAAAAAAACAAAAAAAACAAAGAATTCATATTTGCCTTTGGATACGACCGCTCATCTAGGCTAAATAACATAATGGTTGCAATTTTACGCTCACTTTGATTCCATTTAGTGAGACTATTAAGATGAAATTTTTACAACAACAAAATAACATATCATTGGATGTAATGTAATATGAAGATATTATTTGCATTTATTTTTGCCAGCCCCTACTTAATCCCCTTCCCCTTCCTGAGGACATTCCCTTCCACACTTCTTTTGTAAACCGAATTGAGAAACATTGAGTTTCTTTTTTTTTGTTCAAATTTAACGCAAAATTGATAGACGAATACTAAGGCATTACCTAAATGACACAATGATTCTGCTGAATTCCTCCGATTTCAAAAAAATTACTTCTGTAAATATATTTTGAGGAATTTTTGTCTCTCGTATTTTTCGATGTCATACATGCAGTGATAAAATTAGTATATCGGCGTTTCTGATTCGATGATAGACACAATAATAAAAAAAAAAAACAAGAACGGATTATCATCGGCATCGAGCAATATCTCACTATACGAGTTATTAACAAACGAACTAAAAAAAAAAAAAGAAAAACTGAAAATGTACAAAATCCTAAGCCGTCACTTACAGGCTCGTCTATGGCATATGTGTACAGAAATAATACAGTTATACAAACAGTTACTTTTTCTCACTTTTCCAATTTTAAGTTTTTTGTTTTTTTTTTTTTTTTTTGTTATAGTTTTCTCGAGCCCACCTATTGCCAATTAGTTTTGCAAAACAATGCTTTCTGTCACTTATCCTTCTTTTTTTTTTTTTTTTTCTTTTTAGATTTTTTTTCAATTCCAATTTTTACCATCACATGCACTTTTTGTTTATACGTGCACGTCAAGTTATCAGGTGACTTGAAAAGCATTGTGTTTTTTCCGGTTTTTCTTCCCTTTTCTTTTTGTTGTTGTTGTTGTTGTTTTTTTTTTTTTTGTTTTTTTTTTGCGTTAAAAAGCAAACACACACAATACTGAATAGAATACCATTCTAGCATATATGTGTAGATGTGTAGGTGTAGGTATGGAGTTTCGTAGATGCACTCATGCATATATATGCACATATACCAGGCTGTCTGTCCATCATATCGGATTTTGTTGGTTTTAATCTTGCGTGCTTTTGTGTTGTCAATCAAATTGAAATTAATTACTGTCACGCATTTTGCATCATCCGCCAAACCAAACATAACAACCGTACTTATGTATGCACACCATCGCAATTACATACAGATATATTCACATGGAATTACATAGCACTTATTGACTACCTATGTCTCTATGCGAGAAAGCAAGCATATGAATTTGTATATGTCTGCGACAGTTGCAGTATTGTTACGTAAACGTACTGTCAATGATATTGATGATGTCGCCATAGTTGAACGCTATGAAAGTGCAAGACAGGAGAAAAACGCTAACCCGAATGCTACTATATGTTTGTTTTGAACGGAATTAACTATAGCTGCATTCATAGACAAATGTCTACACAGATTTAAATAAAATAAATGTAAAGCTAAAGTTAATGCTCAATAATCAATAGGTAAAAATGGCACGAATCGGAATGACAGCAAATATTGGATACACATTAACAATGATTTTCCCGCTTCATTAATTACGATACACTCTTCTATACGACATTATAAGGATTTAACCTACATTTGAGAGCTTTTTCAGAGCTTTGATTATTAATTAACGCTTCTTCAAAACCACATCAATCTCTCACATCATCTTATTTAGAAAAGTTATTTGCACGCAGTCTAAATGCATTCTCAAAACTTATTGCATTGGAAAGAATTGAATTTTTGCCAACTACTTTCTTACCTACTCAGGCGGATAAAACGCAATTAATAGAGCAGGGTTCTCTTCTTCTCTCATCAAGGGCAAAAATAATAATTTTAAAGATTGAACTGGCAAAAGTCCAGCTTATAGAATAACCAAGTCTTTCAGAATAGGCCCTAAACAACTACTACCGCAATAAATTAACAAATATAGTATCATCAGTAGTGCACCGTCAGCCTGCGTATAATTTCATGCGCCAGCTGTAGAGCAGTATTGTTTACGATGAGATCGTATGAATATGCAAGTGACGAAAGCGGGCTTTTTTTATTTTCCTTTTTACTCAATAAACAAAAGAATAACCCAAAAACACGCAAAAAAAAAAAAAAACAAAAAAAACAAATAACAATAACAACGAAACGATATAAGTCTTGTACATACGCTTTCATAATAAACAAAATTTTAATGGACATATGCATACCTCAGATAACGTTTAATTAATGACTTTTCTAAATAAAGCAATGGTTATGTCTTTCGTATGAATTATTTAGTTATTACATAAAAATCGCTTTCATCCGACTTCGTATTAGACCAAGTTCGTACCACTCCATCCGTCCATTTTTAAGACAACATTGGCTTTATTTACAATTCTTTTAGGTTTTGCGTACAAATTATTTACAGAAATTTGCTGTGTAGATGCAACGTTTTAATGCTACTTCTGTCTTCGTCCATATAAATGTTATGACTCAACTCTCTTGACTTGCCGTGCTCTTCGGAAATATTCTGCTAACAAGCAAGAAACCAGAAGAAGAACTCTTCGTATTGTGATATTTTTATATCAAATCTCTTTTTCCGCAAACTCTTCTTAATCATTTTGTCAATCGTCAATGATGTCAATGCATTTGCATCTGATTTTCCAATTTTACAAATTTCATTTTCTAGAAGTTTTCGACTAATGTTCATGTTGTATCAAATATGATTTGTGGAGTGGATTTTCGTGATATAGTAAAGCAATTATTTTTTCAGTATCGCGTTTACATACTTGAAGACTGGAATGAATTGTGTGTAAAGCGGAAAATACCGTGTTCAGAGAAGTTTTCATTGGCTTCGACTTTGGGTAATCCGATGCAAATTCGAGCTTGGTCTTTAGCTGGTCTACCTTCCGATAACTTTTCAGTGGAGAACGCCATCATTGTCAGCAATTCGAATCGTTATTCATTATTGATAGATCCTCAAGGTATGTCCAATTTCTGTTTTCTGTTTTTCTTTCCACTAATTTTAATTTAATATAACTATTCGGTTATTCTATTTATTATTTATTAACAGTACAAGCTAATAAATGGATAAAAAACATGGAAAAGAAAAATAGTCTGAAAGTGATTAAGCAAACTGACGCGAATTATATGCAAGTACTTGAGCTATGCATTACATATGGTACTCCTGTACTAATTGAGAATGTTGGTAAGTATCGTAAATATCGAGACTTTTTACATTACATTTACTTACAAAGAGCAAATGTTCTTAAGTTTAAAGGATCTCGCTAAGAAACTGGCATAACATGTAAAATTGGTGAACTTGCATTAGTGCATACTGTACATACACCAATTGTGGTAGAGATGTATGCGTAACATTCAGAGGGACTTGAGATTGATTTATATATATATATATATAACGATTCAAGTTTGTCTGTCTCTCTGTCTGTCCAATTATTCAGATATTTTCATAAAATTTGATATACCGACGTATGGTGGCCCAAGGGCAAACTCTCGCAAATCCATATAGGTCAAGTTTAATCTATTTAAGTTCCATGTCAAATTACTCTTAAGAACTAATTTTCTTGTATGAGACACTGACCTTTTCATTATGTACAAATCCAATTTTCCTGGCATGTACGGGGTACATGCCGAAGTGTTCAAAAACTTACCTCACACAATCTTTGAAGCTTCTGACACCCAATTAGGATCTCGAAATATTGTTACTCATCTTACTGAAAATTACATTATTTTTCCATTAAACCACTTCTGACAATATGCTGCTATATGAGAAGCGGCCCAAATTATTTTCAATACCATTCGCCCTCGGGCCAAAACATATCGTACCGTACCGTATATTATGAAAATGTTTTAAAATTACGACCTAGAGGTTTGAACACAAAGATACATGGACAATTTTCAAACGGACGAGCGGACGGACAAGCCTAGATCGTGATCAGAAGATGATTCTGGACTAATGGATATGATAAAAATAAATTCTTTCGTGCGTTACATACATTCGCACAAACTTAATTCACCCATAAATAAGCAGATATTTTTAGAAATTTCTCATTTCTAATTGCACCTATCTATGCATATGGTGGATACGTATGCGTTTAAAAGTTCATAAAAGCCAAAGTTATTGAAGCTCTAAATTTACGCCTTTGGTTGCGTAATTTAACGCCTTTATTTAGATAATGAGCAAAATATCAAAATGCATTTAAAATGAAAAGAATTAAAATCAAATCTGTATTAGCGCATCGCTCTTAGCACATTAACTTGAGTAAAGACAGATTCATACACATAAACATACACATACACATAGCACAGAAAATTCGTGCTAAAGGGAATTAACTATTTTTATATTTCTTTTGCTTTTTTGCACTAATTTTTAATGCAAAGTTTTTCATCGCTTCATGTTCTCAAATACATTTCGGTGTACTGTGGTTTTCTTTCTTATCCGATTACAAGGTTTTATTTTATTTTTTTTTATTTTTGTTTTTGTTGTTATCCCATTTTCATGGCTTGCTAAACGATAGTACAGCTAATCTATTGAAAATAACTTCAAAAGGTTAATGATGCAAAGAAATGAAGCATAAATGATTTTAACTTCAAGCATTAAATACGAAATTAAGTACAAGCTTGAACAGGTAAGCATTCATGCAACAGTGTATTAACGGACCAATGCGCCTTAGGCGAAATTATCGTTAATATCACGGAACAATTATTAAAAAATGTTAAATAAAAAAAAAAAAAATCGCTAAAACAAACCCAAACTATTTTCCCCATAAGAGCGTGAACTACACAAAATGGCTAGAATGTTAGTTAAATAGATATGTAGATACTCGATATTTCAACTAAAGAAATTTCTCGTCACTGTGCCCTGACGATTCTTCAATTTTTTATGTCTTATCAACGGTTTACTTAAACGCTTGACTTGTATTTCATCCTCAAATTGAAGCAGTATACTAATGGAATCCTATTCTTCAGGTTGTTCCATAAAATTGATGGCATGACGCGATGGTAGCTCACGTTCACATGGTGCGAGCCTCCAATTCCCATGCTGCCGATCTGAGCTCCGGGTCTAGCAATATATTGCATTTTATGTAAAAGCTTTCTAGTCCTCACTAGTTACGAAATCAGATGATTTTGCACATTAACGAAGATAACGGACCAAGTTTGAGCCACATTGATCCGTTGGATTTGATATATAATTTGAATTCGTAGAACAACATCATCTTGTACATAGGATCTTATCTCGGGGCATTCTATTTTCATTTCCCACACTTGTGTTATTGGCTTGGAATCATTCATTTTATTATAAGGTGTATAAATTTATGAACGCTGTCTCCTTTTTCCGGATACAGGGTTCATTTTCGCTGAGAGTGCTCGAGGGTATCGTGCAGACTTCCTCCCCAATGTAGTCATCTACTCAAGACGTCCAGTAAGCAACCAGTAGATTGTAGAGAAGCTAACGATAGCGTACTGTCAGGGTTTCGAACGTAGCTGAGTTGATTACTTCTCTTAGTACAATAAATCCATAAGGTGGGTAGTAGGGATAGGTAGGAGAAAAATTCCAAACCCAAGTGTGAAATTACGAACATAATGATACGCGCATAATTCGCCGATAATTCTAAAGCATGGCTTGAACTGTGCGGAATCCACACAGTCGCATGTGCCGTGCTTTGGCGGTTAGATGTGACAGCATTGGTTAAAGTGGAGATTGGTGCTTGTCAAGATCTTTCGGTGGAACGCTTGCATGTTGACATACCATGTGGAAACATCGGTGGAAGCTGGTATGCCCAATTACTTTTTGAAGGCTGCAAGTTAACCAATGTGTGAGGCCTGAAAGCTTCGGTGCGGCCCTGCGGATGGCTGTGATTACCCCCAAATGCAAGGGGATTAAATAAGTAGTGGTGCTTGATAGGCTTCGCCCTTTCCAGAGGGGAAGATTTGAACCGTACCTGAACTTTCAATCTGGCACCCGGTCCTTGAAATATGCCCTCACGCCAAATGCAGACGTTAAACATCTATACAACTCATATGTAAATCTTCGCAAATATTCGAATACTTTTTTTAAATTGAAATCAATTGTCAATTGAAAGAATTGTCGCACCGAGAAAGTCTATAACAAATGTATCGACATAATCTAAAAGGCATGAAACGAAAATTCTATAAATGCTGCCATCTGTTGAGTATTGTACTTAGCACCCTACTAGTGATAATAGCAGGTAATAAACTTATTACTAAGGAAAGCGTTTTGATGGATGGAACGTTCAAATGCATCTCTCGATAATTCGGGCGATGCGCTCGCTTGATCATCAGATTTCTCTGCATCTTTGGTATGAAAATTTTTCAGGGCAGAAGATAGTTCATCGATTTTTACATTATAGCAATTGCACACTTGCACATTGCGAGCCAATTTCAAAGTATATCGAGTCATAAGAAATGCGCCTTGGAGAACGTGTACTGAAAAAAAGTTTGTTCGAAACCGCAATCAGAAATATTATATGTTTTAGTTACGTTTACTTTCGCAGCAAAGAAATGGATGAACAACACACATATTATTGATAAATGGCTATTATTACTTTCTTTTTTTTTTAAAGGCGAAACACTGGATTCCAATTTAACTCCAATTTTGGAAAAGAATGTAATTAAACATAAAGGAGGATATGTTATCAAATGCGGTGATCAAATGATTGAGTACAATAGCAATTTTCGTCTTTATATAACAACATGTTTGCGTAATCCTCATTATTCGCCCGAAATAATGGTTATGGTAAGTAAATTAATGCTAAAGCTTTACATAAATTTTTGTTAGATATATAAGTGAATCACAAGCAAGAAACATACGTAGCCGTACAGGTCAGGTAACCATGTAAAAGTGCGGATAGGTAAACTAAAAATATATTAAATTTATATCATTTGTGTGGTGTAATAAAATAACGACACATATATATGTGCACACGTACCCACACACACACACACACACACGTGTATATTGTAATTCTGCTAAAAAGTAAATTGCTACAGGTAACCAAATACTTAAAAGTCATCGAATGTATATTATATATATATATATATATAAATGACATAATGACTTTGATAATGATAATGGTGATGTTAGAATATGTAAATTTTCAAACATTACCCCCATTTTATTGCTTTAAAAAACGAATACCGAAAGTTTGAAAATTCATCCATCCACAAACACGGGGACACAGGGATATATGTGCGCACACAAACCTATGCACATACAAACAGCATCTATACATATATATGTAATATGACGAAAAATTTTACTGCTGATGTTAACAATTTGAAACAGTTTTCACAAAATGAACAAAATGAACACATTGAACAAAAAGAAACATTAAAATCAAACACAAAATGGAAAAAAAAATAAGAAAAAAATATTTTCATTTTTCCAATTGATTTAAATGAAAACTTTGTTTATGGTTATATTCTAAGTTACTATTGTTGTTTTTATTCTCGTTCTTTTTTTTTTTTTTGTGTCGTTTTTCTATTTTCCTCAAACAAGGTAACCGTTATAAATTTTATGATAACCGAGCAGGGTTTGCGTGAACAATTATTAGGTACCGTTGTGGCTCACGAACGTCCGGATTTGCAGGAGAAAAAGGAACAATTGATTATTGAATCGGCAAAGAATCGCGATGATTTGTATACAATTGAATCGAAAATTTTAGAGGTAAGCACGTTCTACAATATATATATATACTTTCCCTATTTCTCTCTCTCTCTCACTCTCTGTCCCCCTCTCTCTCTCTCTCTCTCTCTCTCCTATTAGAAATCTTTCAATTTCTATTCGTGCTTAGGTTAATTTATAATGTTTTGTTTCAGTTTAAGTGAATTTTTCCAATTTCAATTATCGTTTTTATACTCTGTATGTGCACAGTTAGCTGTATAAACAAAAACACATTCACGTGTATGAACGCAGTTTGTATATACATGTTTATTGTTTGCTCTTCTTGTTTGCTATTTCAATGGGGGATTGTTATAGTGAATTTTATACTTTTCAATTTTTTATAAACAACATCACGATAAGTTATTATAGGTTAGTTATGCGGTTTACACATCATTGTAAGTAAAAACTTTTTGTGAAGATCTCGTATGCTGGATAACGTAAGAATATATGTTTACATAAAACTGATAACGTAAGGGTTTCGCAAGATATTAAATCTCGTGCGTAAAAACTTTGATGAAATTTCTTAAATCTTACAAAATTCCGAGACATGTTGAGAATTTAAACTTCGGATAGCATAAAGCACAAAATATATTTAGGCAAGAAAGTGTATGCAGAAATAATAAGTTAAAAAAAGCTGATATAATGAATATATATGTATGAATAAATAAGTGACTTATCCGAAATTCGTGTTATACTTGGTATAATTCTTTAGAAGTTTGTTATATATATATATATATATATATATATATATATATATATATATATATA